ATTTGTTTGTTTTCAAAAGTGTATTAGGGATGTAGAAGCGTAAACTGGATCGAAAGTTGCTAGAACTTGTGTTCAGGATCTCCCCGGTGTGCTCCTCAGAGACTTGCCCTGGTTTTAGGGAAAAAAATCTGCCTCTTCCTTTTGTGTTACTCTGCCTTGGTGAGAGATACGGCAATCACAGATTCACAGAATATTCAAGATTGGAAGGGACCTCTAGAGATCATCTAGTCCAACCTTCCTGCTCAAGCAGGCACACCTACAGCATGTGGCACAGGGTGGCGTCCAGGCGGGTTTTGAAGACCTCCAGAGTAGGAGACTCCACAACCTCCCTGGGCAGCCTGTTCCACTGCTCTGTCACCCTAACAGTAAAGAAGTTGCTCCTCACCTGGAGACGGAACTTCCTGTGCTCCAGCTTGTGGCCATTACCCCTCGTCCTATCGCTAGCCACCAGTGAAAACAGCCTGTCCCCCTCCTCCCTGCATTCTCCCTTCCTGAACTTACACATGTTAATCATATCCCCTCTGAGCCTTCTCTTCTCCAGAGAAAACAGGCCCAGCTCACTCAGCCTCTCTTCGTACAAGAGATGTTCCATTCCCTTAATCATCTTGGTTGCTCTTCTCTGGACCCTCTCGAGAAGCTCCACGTCCCTCTTATACTGGGGAATCCAGAACTGCACACGGTACTCCAGGCAATAATTCTCTGTAAAGCATGTAACACGTGGCCTTTGACTGGGGAAATCTTGGTTACAAAGTGCCTGTAGGAAAGTTTTCAGAGGTTTGGATCTTCGGATTCTCCAGCTCTGTCAATATGTAGTGGGAGGCAGATGACAGTTTTACTGCTGAAAAACTTGTCATTTTCCAACAGCAAACATTTAAAAGTAATGGAACACACAGTGCTCCAGAGGGACCTCCTCTGGGTGTTTCGATAGGCTTGTGAAGAGCATCGCTTGTGCACCGCACTGTGCTACATGAAAGATCACAGCTATTTTCCCCATTTTGGTCCATATGATAACTCTAATTTTAAATAACTGCAATTAACTCAAAAATAAAAAATATGGAATATTAAGAGGGAAGAGAAGATTGTTACACTATCAATTTGGGAACATTAAAGAAATATAAAATTAAGGCAAATTGAGGAGTAGTGTGCAGTGGTTGTGAGTTTGAAGTAATACTGACTAGAAAAAACATGTCAGTGTAATTTGCTTTAAGGGAGTAGATGATTACATCTAAAATAACTAAACCCACTTAGATCTAAAATTAAATTACAGTAAAGAGTAATTTAATTGTATAATGTTTACCTGCAGAACAAATGCAATGAATGTTTCTAATGCGTTATGTTTCTTTTCATTCAAACAGGAAAGCCCCATTGCCTTCTCCATCAGGAATAACCTCTGTGTGTGTGTGTGTGTGTSTGTGTGTGTGTGTGTGTGTGTCTGTGTGTCTGTGCGTGCAGCGAGGGTCTCTGCTAGCGGCAGAAAGGAGGGCAGAGAAGCTGGGAGGTCAGAACTGCTCTTCTCCTTCCAGGAGGTCTGTTGGACTTGCGTCCAAATGTGTCTCCAACTGCCCTTCTGTTTCACCCTGCCCCTCTGGATTCCTTCATCTCTTCTGTCTTTCAAACAGTGAGGAAAGGCAAGTGAGTTGCTGAGGATAAAATAAACCTCTGCTCCGTCCTCCCCTAGCTTTCAGGTACCGGGAAGGTGACTGTGTCCATGGCACAGGTCTTGGTGGCTCCCGGAGACCGGCAAGCCGTGGGACGACCTTGAAGGCACGCGTGTGTGGTGACTATTGCAGATAAAGAAATTCCTTCTGCTCCCTCTGTATACAGAAAATGTTGTGTAAAATAAGTTATGAAACACAGGCTGGGTAGTTGGTTTTTAAAAAAAGCAGCAACTTCGAAACAAGTTTTTTTGCTTTCATGTGGGGAAGCATTTTTTTATTTCAGTGGAGAGAGGATCTGGTCAGAATAGGATAATTTTTTTTTAATGTGTTTGTGCTCTGGCTGTGTCTTTATAGGGTCAGTATGATTTAGCAAGGTTTAGCATGAAAATACTCATGTGGAAATAAAAAAATCAACTAGGAACTGCATTCACTGAAGACAGCCAATTTCTAAAAGTGTTTAGAAAAGTTCTTTGGGGAAAAAGGGAATCTGTCGTTCTGAGGCTATGACTCGGCAGACTGGTGTAACTGTACACAACATATCTGTGTAACGTGATGCTGTTTTCCTGTCTCCCTGAAGATTAACAAGAGGACTTTTAGCAGCAATGTTCACATTCACTACATTTACTTTTTTTTTTTTTTTTTTTTACCCCCTAAGCAATTTGGGTGCTATTGGGGTTTTCCATCTCTAAAGAAAAGCTTTTTCAGCATGGGAAATAATTCCTCTGTTGTAAAGAAAAATATGACATCCGTGTTTCACAGCTGATCATCTGTTTCTAGTTTCACTTGTTTTTGCTGGTTGCCTGGAGCGAGGCAGATTCAGCCTGACTTAATTGAAGTAGCCTTTGAAATCTTGGCCGTTCTGAGTTCTTGTGAGCTCTGTAAATTATTTGAAAAAATAACTGGCACTTGTGTTGTCGTTAACCACTCGCTTTTCAGTCTCTTTGTCCAGAAGATGTGCTTGGTGCGATTGCTTTAGGGATTCGTGAAGAGACCTCGCTTGAGAAGAGGAGCGGGAGGTAGAGTCTGACTTCAAAAAGGACAAAACACTAACGGTGGCATTTACACAGTGTCCTGCCTAGCAGAATATCTGCAGTTTCTTTAAAGCTGTTGGTTTGTCCAAGTGAAATGAGGAGGTAAGGAGATGGTGAGCTGCGCAGCGGTTCTGAGCGGGCAATGCCCACTCCCCAAGCGGGCAGCAGCGTGTCCCTGTGAGGGGAGGCCGTGTTCCGAGGCCCCTCGCTGCCCTTTTTTCCCTGGCTCCGCAGTTCCTTCTCTGAGGAGGCTCTTGCAGGTTGCCGAGTACTACGAACAATCCAGATGCCAAGAAGGGTTTGGGGGACCGTTTTGGGGGTTGTTTTTGCTCTTCCTTTCCCCATCACGGTTGCACTGGCCACGAGCTCGCTGCTGCGGCTGCTTCTCTAGGAACGCAGCCACGGCGCCTGTGTCCCTTGCGTGGTGCTCTCAGCAGGGCTCTGCCTGCAGCTGCTTGGTGAACGCCGGGCTCCCGGGCATGCGCTCCCTGCCATCCCCAAGTGCAGGAAGCAAATAAACTTGTTCCTCTTCCCAACAAAGCCTTTCCCCTTTCCCTAATGGCTGTGATCAATAGGCCACTTAGGCTAATAGTAGGGCCCTTCTCATCTATTTGCCTCCCTGCTCTTAGCAGAGGAATCCGAGTTCCCGCAACAACACTTTATTCCCAGCGGCAACACCCTGCCCTTTGGCACCTGCAGCGGCTCGCCAAAGGGGCGCTGCCTTTCTCGAAGGGGCTAATCTTGAAATATTAAAATCAAAGAGAAATTACTAGGGATTTGAATTATGAGCAGAATTTAAGTGATGAATAATGGGGGTTTCATATCCATAAAGAGGGAGAATGACCTGTGCATGATAAGCAAGCTGAAGAGAGAAAAGGAGGGTTGCTGTTACTACGCTGAATTAAATATTGATGTTTTCAAAGTTTAGACTCTTCTGTGGAACTGCATAATAATCAGATACAGTTACATAGGCTTCCTGCACTCGTCCCTTTCTGGAATTCATGACTGAATTTTAAAACCAAGTCCGCATGAATAAACAAATAAGAGAAATACGTTAACCAAGAACACACAACTGAAGGGCAGCGTTTTTTTCCCTCCAATAGCAGCTCTGGGACTCCGCGAACCTTTTTTTCAGCTCAAAAGGTTCCACATTGAGGCCCGTGAGTTTGGCTTAGGAAGCGTTGCCTGCCTGCGGCAGCCCTTGCAGGCTGCTTTACCTGGGGTGAGAATTCACTTTCCCTCTTCTATGCCCTCAAATGGAGAGCAGGTAGTGCTGCAGACTGCTGTGTAAGCACGGGAAGCACAGTGACTTTCTCCCTCAAAGATGTAGGCAAAGATATGGTTTTGTTTTGAATCCAGAGCGAGACTAATTGCAGGTGAGGAGGTGAGGTTAACAGGGAGTTCGATGGGGACACTGGGCAGTTGGCCGGGATATTGGATATTTATGAGTAGCAGCCACTTGTGTTCTTGTTGCTATGTGTGGAAGGACCAATGAACTTAAAAGCATCTCCCTGCAAGGGTGCTGACCTCATCATACCCAAGCAGAAGGCAATGAGCTTTTGTGCAAAGAAGCTCAGAGGTTTTAAGAAAATAGAGTTGTAATTTTAAGGTCTACTGTCATGATTTGTGTGTCATTGTACTGCCTGACCTGCCTTACTGCTTTCCCTCCGCCTCATTTCTTCATAATTCCGCGTGGCGCCTTGTCCTTGGCACTGTTTCCCTTGGCTGCTTTCTGCTTCTTGTCAGGATGGATACTTTTCCTCTACCCGAGTCTAATTCTGTGCCCCTCTTCCAGGGGTGATAGGATCCTTTTTGGTATCCTGCACTTTAGTGGAAACTGCCAAGTAGTTTGTGCTAACTTGTTCTTTGTAGTTCCTGTGGTTTCAAAGAGACTCAGGAACCACGGTTCCTAAGCTATTTGTAATAATTCTACTTCAGTCAAATCCTATCTCTGAAAACACAGATGTGTAATGTCATTGTAGTTGCTCTAGGGTATCACTAGTATCTGTGCTGGGCTGGTGGGTATGAAATAGGGCCTGTGGCAGAGCTTTACTGGAGTATTGAGATGAGATGCCTGTATTTAGTAAAATTTCAGATGTCCCAAGTGTAGGCAAGGAAGCCTCACCCTTAGTGTGATGAGCAAGTCACCAGCTGCATAACATTTTCAAATTCTGGACTAAATGCTAGCTTCATTGCGTGTATGCTTTATTTTGTGCATTAGTGTAGAAACAGCTGAGACATCTTCACACGAATCATATTAACGAGAACTGATACGTTCAACATATTTCCTTATTTTGTCTTCTGCTCACAGGTCCAGCATGAACAAAGAAACCACCCTGCAGAACCCGTAATAGATGATTATAAGAAGATGGGGACTCTCTTTGGCGAATTAAACAAAAGCCTCATCAGAATCGGCTTCACGAGGATGTATTTTGGAGAACGGATAGTAGAACCTGTAATAATCATGTTCTTCTGGATTATGCTGTGGTTTCTGGGCTTGCAAGCTCTTGGACTAGTCGCAGTTCTGTGCCTTGTCATTATTTATGTGCAGCAGCAGTAACATTTTATAGATGATGCCTGTTGGAGCAGATATTACAATGCAGTCACTGTTTCAGTAGATTTATGTTTTACTTACATGGGTGCTTTGAATGCTTCACACTGTAGCTTGCTGAACTGTCAAGATTTGGGGCGAGGGGGCCAAAATTATGCATTTTATGCAAGGACCTGCTACATCTTGCAAGGGAAAAAAACTGTTTGCAATATAATGTTATCCACAGTAATGTGCCGTTTCCTGCACCTTTGGGGGCTTAGTGCAAGGATTGTCTTTTTATTTTTTTCCCCTCTCTGAATATTCTTGTTTTGTACAGTGAAAACACCCTGTCTGATCGGAAGCGGACACTCGGTGGTATAATCCTTGCTTGTTGCTGGGGCTTTTTGTGAGCTGTTTGTTATCTGAATCTGCCGAAATTGCTAGCACATTGCTGAAAAGCTACATCTGCACTTGGAGGTTTGCTAACCTGGACACAGCAGCAAACACTTGGTAAGGGGGTTGCAGCTTCACCGTTTGGAAGCATCTTTGGTGAATGTAGTTTATAGCAAGCCTGTTCCCCTGGGGAACGGGCTATGCCAGAAAACTGCTTTTATCTTGGTATTAATGACTTCACCCAGGGTTTCTGTTGTTGCTTAGGGTCAGGGAGGAATTGCAGCCCCAGCCTGGGCTAGCCAAACGGTCAAGCGTAGGTCTGTCTGGTTTGTGAATGTGTACTTGACTCCTGCTGCTGCTATTTATTTTTTCTTGCTGTTCCTTCCCCCTCCTTCTGAAGATAAATATTTGGATAATCCGGGGAGTTTGTAGACGAATACAGCTGCAGATGAGTACTGACATTTGCTGTACTGGACACCATGCTACAATATTGTCCGCTGCTTCTGGGGTCTCCTGCGCAAGCATGAAGTGTCTCAACAGCTAGGTAGAAAACGGGCAGGTCTGGTAATGCTCCCTGGCTGACTGCCGAGCAGGCCTAACCAAGGCTCCTGCCTAGCCTTATGAAGCAGACTGGGCTTGTGTCCTGTTGTAAGACAAGAAGGTTTTTGAAATCAAGTGGTTATTTTATTTCACAGAATTACTTAATTTATTTCTTAACTAGGCATCAAGAATGCATATCTATAGAAGCACCTTATGCTTCTATAGGAGGAGGAGGCACAAAGGACATTCTGGCTGCCTAGGAGCCACTCCAGGGAAGTGCTGCGTGTCTCAGAGCTAAACCATTCAGATAAAGGAAAAGAGTGTAATGAGACAGAATCTTTACTGAATAGGCCATTTTAATATTTGATATACATTACTTTTAGTAACACTTCATTACAAATTTGACTTTATCTACTGTGGAATTATGCATTTGTTTAAAGAGATGCAATATGTGAAATTTACAGACAACTACTTAAGTTTTCACAGTGATTAAAAATATATATATATATATATATGCACCAGCAGTGCTTACCAACTGAAGAGTTCTTAGTTGAAAATGCTGAGTCTTGTCTAAAGACCTTTGCAGCCAAGGGAAGCCTTTGTACTGTCCCCATCCTGCAGTCGGGTTCTCAAGGCAGATTTTATGCCATCTTGTTGGTTGTTTGGCTCTGCTTTGAGGACCTTTGGCCCCAGTCCTTAAACCTCTCCTGTCACTGAAATAATTGCTATTCAAGGCAGTGAACACAAAGGCTCAGCTCCTTTCAAAGTCCTTATGTGCCTAAATTTGATCTCTAGCAAGTTCTTCTGGCTTTTGTAACGAAGGGTAGGTGGATGCATTGTTGCCTTGTGAGGAGCCATCCCTTGGCCAAGCCTGAGGCGCCCGTTGTGGCCACGCATGGGAGATGCGCTGCTGCGGCGGCACGGCGCCGGGGACTGGAACTGAGGCCCAGGCGTGCCTTCAAGTCGCAGCCTCTGTTGACTGCCACCTAGTTACATACCCTGCAGAAAACCGGGAAACGCCTGAGTCCAGGAAGTGTTCCTGGACACAAGATGTTGATAGTCACAGCAAAGACCACGTACACACTGGACCTGGGGGAAGGAGACCTGTATTCACAAGTGCCTATGGGTAAACTTTTTGTTGCAAATCTCTTGAAAAACAGAATTTCTGCTATACCTTTGTGTACTCGTACAGATGTAATGTTGTGGTTGTGTGTATTCTTCTCCTGTGTAAGGACTGTACTGCAAAAGCATTTTGTCATTTAGGAAGGAAAAAACCCACTTTCTTCCCATGGCCAAGTTCCAGTTCAGAGAATCTCGTCCGGTTCTTCTCGTCCTGTCAGAAAACGTGTCCGTGTGGTGCCCTGCTGCGGGAAGGCTGCTGCCTCGGGACGAGGCACCTGGCGCCGGAGCGGCGGTTCTGCCCGTGCCCGGGGGCGCGTGGGAGAGCGGAGCGAGGCGGCGCCCGGGCGCGAGCCCTGGGGGCTGCTACGGGCCGCAGCCTTTCCTCACGGGCGCCGCTCTGCTGACTGCCCTCGTGAGCAGTCCTTTCAGGTACTCGTGTTTGTGTCTGGAAACACGTGAGCTACGGATCTGGCTTGTCGACCAGGATTGTGTATAAAGAGATTTTAATGGTTTCTCTTAAAGGTAACTTTATCTTTTTTTTTTTTTTTAATCCTGAAAAAATAACTCCTTTAATGGCACTACGTGTCAGAGAAAGAAAAAAAAAAAACCCGTTGCATGGAAGATACCCTTTGAGTTCAGGTATACACCTGCTTGGTTTCATGCATTGAATTGTACATAACAATTTGCATAGAATCATCTGTCCTAATTTTTGTGCTACTGCTATACTTTTATTTCCCTCTCCTTTGTACGAGAGGAAAGAGTTGTTCAGGTAAAATGAGGCTGGAATAAAATCAGTCCCAGAGAGTTCCAAATGGAATGCAATGGAATGGTGCATACCCGTATGAAAAGAAACCTGGCTGTAAATGTGCATCACAGATGAGGAAAAATGAGCGAGTTGTCCTTGCACTGTTTTCTTTCTTCCATCCCAACTTAATTCAAAGGCAGAAGAAGCCCCAARCGTTCAAAGATTGTCCCTAGCTCAAAATCATAAGATTAATTAAAAGAAAAAGGATTATTTCCTTTGTGTCTGTATTGTGCAAATTGAAAATGTTGTTTATATTGGTATATATGATTATTATTCTTGTTAAAACTGAAAGCTCTTTTATACATTTGTGTGTAGAACTATATGAAGGAATTATGTCCTGTAAACCTGAACTGTATGAAGGAATTATGTCCTCTAAAGCTGCATTAAAAGATGCAGTTCCTGTCAATCAGTGCAACATGTTCAAAGCTTTTCACATAACCTTTTTTTTAAAGGAAGGACTTTTCACTACTGTTTCGTACCTATCAGCTGCCTAGATGTTTGAACTACTGTGTACAGAGAAGAAACTACACATAGAAGAATATTAGAAATCTTAGAGAGCCCTGTTTGCACTGAAAAAAATCACATTGAAGTTGTCTATAAAACAAAGTTTCCTAAAAACTCTGTAATAATTGAATTCTTTAAAAAGCAGTTTGTTATTCTTTCTAATAAAAACAATTGTCATCAATAAGAACTGTAAATTCTTTGTGCTTTCTTCAAAGCTATTTAACTCCTTTTAAGCTTTTGTGACTCAGGTGAAATACGGTGACTTTCAAATGAAATCCACAGAAATGGGCTGAACTTACTGCTTTTGGAGAAGGAACGGCAGCCAGAACCAACATTTGTGTTTGTCGTACAGTGCCGATTTAACTGTATCGGGGCTAGAGGGTTGCACTTGCAGCAAGTTGCACTGAATTTAAAAAGTAGAACTAAATGGAATAACAAATAATGGCCACATGACTGTATAAGTAGGTTTTGTTGTGCAGTGTAGTTTACATCTAGAGCAGCCTCTGGAGGAACCAAATGTGGTCACGGGTGAGTAAAATACTGTACAGTGACAATTGTTATGCCCCACAAAGCTTCTGGTCGTTCTTTAAATACTCACAGAACAGCATGTGGTCCAAAACACCTCAAAACGAACCCACTTGAAACTGCTCAGATTGGGGGCAGTTCAGGTGGCTGTTCATTTTGAGAGCTCCAACAGACACTTAAATGTGTTTGTGGTGCTCAGTATACACAAGTGGTAAAATAGTACAGCTTTTCCAAAAGCAAGCCATAATTCCTCTGTAGCGGAGTTGATTTTGGTCCTTCCAGCTCATCCTGATAGTCTTGTGCAAAATAACCTGCAGCCAGGGTTGCTGCATGTGTGCACAGGCCGGGTGACCAGCTAACTGCTGCYGCTCCCAGGCACCAGTCTCTTCCTCAGAGCAATCCCTGCACTTGTGGACGTAACCATCCATATTCCTTCCTTGCTCACTCTGGAGAAATGGAGCTTGCGTCGGCTCCGTTTTATATGTGACCTACAAGGGAAAAGGAGAACTGAGCTTGCAGTAGCGTTTTTAACTTGGTTGTAAGCTCACGCTCTTTCTGAAGCACCCAGATTGCATTCTTGGTATCTTAAGTGCAGCTTGATGCTGTTTCTTGTCAAAAGTCTTTGTATCAGCACCTGACAATTTCTCTTTTTTTTTCCCTCAGTGAATGCAGAAGTGAAGCTCTCGGGGCAGCCCCACGCGAGCTGTCTCCTCCGCAGAGTGCAGCYGGCTGTCAAAGCGAAGGGAAAAGTCTCACCAGGCCGCAGGCRGCAAAGACAAAGCAAGAGGTCAGCTGGCACGGGAGGGGAGGGTGGTTGCACCACAGCCCAAGGCGTTTGGTTGGGTGGTATGTGGGGCAGAACTGAGATCCAGCTGTACAGCCTAGGTTTTATTTTCATTAATTGTAAATTAGTTAAGCCCAATTGTTTTGCRGCTTGCCATGATGCCTCAGCTTGTGCGCAGAATGAACATAGCTTGTAATGAGTGTTTCTGGACGCTGTCTGGTCTCTCTAGACATATTTTATGTGTCCTGTTTACCACTTATGCATTCAAAGCTTTACAGGAAAAGGGGGCTTGTCTCAGCCCTCATTTGAATGAGGGTTTAATATGTATGGAAAAGGAGAGAAATTACTCACTGAGAAACTGCTCATGGCTTCCCAGTAAAGAGCTGCCTTTGCTGTGGGGGTGATAAGAGTGCAAGGGACCTGGGTTCATGCTCTGCCTGGAATGTAGAAACCCGTTTTTTTCCATCTTAATTCAGAAATTACAAGTAAAATATCTGTTTTCTAATATTATATTCTTGCTCTAGGTGCCTGGAACATACTTCTCATACAGTAAGTACATAGGAATAGATGAATCATTAAGTTAAAAAAAATGTATATATATCCTCTGGGAACCAMATTTCTGTTCTATAAAGTAACGTTGAGGAGACTCTTATGCACTTGAATGAGATTAGAGCCCCTAAGTGCCCAGCCTGCTTTTGAAAATTGATCTTTGGCTTGTAAGTTACTTGTTTCTAAAATTTTACTTGCTATCCACTTAAATCCTCCTTCATTCATGTTTTTGGAAGTTATTACTATCATTTCAAAACTTTGGAAATCCACTCCTCTCCTGTTAGCTGCTGCTGCTGTGTAGSTTGTGCGCCAGGTCACAGCACGAGACGGGCACGCTTCAAGGCTATCTGACCTGCATCACCACAGCTAGAAGCCGTTTTCCAGCATTTCCTTTGCTGCCATGATCTATATTCATGCATCTTGGAGGAGGCCTAGCTAGTGCCGACATGAGCCATGTCCCTGATTTCCTTGGGCATTTCAGTCCTCTAAGCTCAGGATGTGCTGCTRCAGCAGACAGACCCTGCCTGTCCGCACACAGCTAAGCACTTGTGTTGAAGAAAGGAAATACGCCCCGGCACACTCACGCTCTTGTCCTGATCCTAGCAAGATTAGGAAAAGCATGA